TCTCTTTGTAGTCTTCTTGTGTCTCTTTGTAGTCTTCTTGTGTCTCTGTGTAGTCGGTTGTTGTCGTTTTGTGGTTGTTTGTATTTTGTTGTCGTCATTTTGAGTCTTTTTATGGTCTTTTTTTGTCTCTGTAGTCATTTTGAGTCTCTGTGACACTTTGAGTGACGTTTTGTAGATGAAGGCCATGGTGACCTGACACTTTGAACCCTTGGGCCTGTCTCCAGTACGTTAAGTACTCCATCTTTGGACTCCCGTTAGTCACAATTTATACAAAACTAGCAGCACAGGCCGGGTGCCTCATCTCCCAATATGAACAATAGTGGGAGATAACTTGTGTGTCCGCCCGTGATTCGGATCCACACTTTGGACATGAGACTCAAACATTGAACATATTTGAGCTGTGTGTTAAATATCTGATTTATTTGGAAAACAGAAAACATTAATTTCTATTTGTTTACCCGTTGGTTCCTACTAAAGACGTACATCTTTATAAACACAATTAGTTTATTTAAGCAGTTTCTATCAAACAAACAGGAGCACATAGAGCATTAGCTGGGGACTATTTTCAGCGGCGGATGAATCCACGTTTGGTGCTCTAGTGAGTCTTTTGTTTTGAGTCCAAATAAAGTCCAGTGTGTGTTTTCATGGTGATGAAGGAACAACAGTGAGGCTCAATGGTATGTTTTTAATGGAGATCAATGGCTCAGAGGAAGAACAGATATCAGCCTCTGGTACATACATATAGAATATTATCAGACTAGTACTCTAAATAAAATACACTGTAGTGGTTAAACATTGAACGTAAAAGCAGACTGAGAAGCAGAGACATTGTTCAGGACTTTATCGGTGTTGTGATGTGACAGGTGTGACCTTGTTGTGTGGGAATGGAAAGATCTAGAGCGACATGTTGTCCCAGAGTCCTGCTCCTCTGTGTGTTTTTCCCACATGGAATTTATTTTCTTCCGTTTTGTCCGCTGTAATGATTCACACAACGAGCAAACAATAAAAGATTTCAGTGTTTATGTATTTTATGTCATAAAAGCTGGAATTTTGTATTCAAAACAAGTCAGTTTATTTCTTTATTGTTGTCTTTTTGCAGCATCTGAAATATTAATATTAACATTAAAAGTGTTTAAATTACACATTTAGTAAGAATACAATAATAAAAAGTACATTAGAAATACAAGAAATAAGGAGAAGATGAAGTTCTTGACTTTCCTGAGAACCAAAAGGACGTTTATTGTATATTTAAATTCACAAATGATTTAGAAATAGTTTATTCCTGTTTGGCTCATTTAAATTAAATATATTTTAATACTTATAATTAGGATAGTTATACTTCTAGTTCACTACCTCGCAGAGGTAAATACTATACTTTTTACTGTACTACATCTCAGAGGTAAACATTGTACTTTTTACTGTACTACTACGTCTCAGAGGTACATAATGAATGCAGTAGTTATACTTCCTCCACTACTGTGTTTCTCACCATGCATAGTCAGTAATTACATAACTGTGTTGAACTGATGTCCTGCAGAGTTGAATGCAGTGAAGTCAGCCTGACTCTGGTCAGAGGGTTTTAACAGCTTCTTTTATTCTGATTCATGGCTCCGTAATGTAAGCTTCATAACAGCGGGTCCTCTTACGTGTTGACATTATTCGGGTGTGTCGGTACTTAGAAAACAGGAAACCGTGAAGCCGGACCCGGATGTTGTGCTTGTGTAACGTATGGAGGAGAAACCCAGTTGTAGTGCAGTTACTTCCTCCTCCCGAACAACCAGCAGCGCTCTGCCCAGTCATGCCCTTTTCAGGAAAAACTAGGAGGGGGGAGGGGTTAGGAGGAGCAGGTCACGTGTGTTGGTGACAGGCCGTAACGCCGCCTGTGATTGGTCGAGCCGCTCCGGGGCCCGTCTCCTCCGATAGGCCTGCTCCGGGGGTAACGTCACGTCGATCAGCTGTTGGAGCTCCACAACAACAACAAAAGAAGGAAGGAGCAGTCGGGGAGGAGGAAACGGGACTGAAGGAAACAAGAAAGAGAGGAAAGAAAACCGAGCCCAGCTCCCGATGGACAGTCCTTAAATCAACGGTTATTTTTTATATATATATTCTATTTCTTCTGCGAAGAAACCTGGAGTTTTTCTATTTTCCGAAAAGTAACGCGTCTACCTCAGTTTTTAAGGATTTGTTTTTGTAATCCTGGGTTTACATCCTCTCTCTCTCTGCCGCAGGTGAGCTCTTTGTTTTCCTCTCGGTGTCCGTTAGCGGCTCCGGTGCCTCTTAAACCGGAGGCTAATGATCTTTATCAACCACATTACGACAGAGACACTTTCTACTAAAAGAAACAGACATTTATTAAAACGCTACGATGCGTTTTTGAACGTTTACGACGCATTTTTAATTCCGCTTCCTCTGCAGCGCGAGCTGTGACGTTAGCCGCGCTCGCGCTGCAGAACGTGGTGTTTTTCCTCGAGTAAAACTATGTGAAGTTGTTTTGTGTGTTTTTTAAAGTATGTTCTTGATACGTTTGTGTATGTTGTAGTTTAACACGCAGGCTTGTGTTGGTGTAGAGTTTCAGGCTCCTCCCCCTTCTCTCTTGCGTAACAACAGACCGTCTGCAAGCCTGCTGCCCCACATTCTCATCCTCCTGCTCGCCTCACACAACAGTCAGCCGATGAGTTTATTTCTCCCTCCACGTGATTGCTAACCGATAACCATTTTAATAATTAGTCATTCGTGAAGTAAAAACGTCAAACACGCACTGGTTTCAGCTTCTTTAAAGTGACGATCGGCTGCTCTTCTCAAGTCGCTTTAAAATGCAAAAGTTTTGGACTGTTCGCGCAAAATAAGACTTTTGCAGAAAAACTTTGACTCCAGGATTATTTTCTGTTTATAAAGCAAAACAAATAGATTAAACAAGAGATAATAAGAAAGTAAAGTATTAATATGAGAATAAACGTTAGTGGCAGACCTCTTTCTGCAGAATATTCAACATGTAGTCACTTTATTTTCACACATTCGGTGAATTTACTGCTTATCTTTCTTTTATATCATTGTAAATTCATTATTTGTGAGAATTAACGGTTTAGAATCTCACAAATAACGTTTAAATACGTTATAGTGTGTTATGGTAGCGTGATACAGGATTTCTTAATGTATTCCTGACATTTTATGAACTTTATTTAAATAGATAATCTTTACTGTCGCGGCCTAAATAACCTGTAAAGTCCCAAAACATGACCACAGCCTATTAAAATAAGAGTTAACTCTCATCTATCTCTGTTTCTGCCTCATCAAACAGCCATAAAACCTCTTGTCACTAAACTGTGTTTTTATCCTGCAGCCTACATACTGTATTTACATCAGGTTTTATTCAGCGTCTGTGTTTTCACTTGAATAAATAATGATGTAATAGAAGCATTTATTGCGACGTCGTTCAACAGAAAGCCACAGCTATGACTCAATGACCCCATTGACTGACATTAATCTCCTGTAAAAACACAGCAGAGGAGCTTTCCTTTGTGCTCGGAGATTATAACGACGATCTGAGTTGTTATTTAGGTTATTTAACCCGATAGCGAGGAGGAGGTGCAGCACATTATGTGATCCTTCAGTTAAAACCTTTTTTTCTGTCTCTCCGTGTTCACAGAGGCGGAGTTTCGCCTTTTGTTCTGCAGAAAAACAGGCTTCATGTTTTTTTTTCTCTTCCTTTCACCGTGTAATGAATAACACAACTGAGAAATACGAGCTGGCACGCGAGTGTTTGAACGCATCACATCCATCAATACTCCTTCTCTTCCGTATCCAGAGTGCGTTCAGGTGCTGTTGTGGAAAAAACGGAATTTGTGTTTCACTGAAATAATTCACGTAGAAGGCAGCTAATGAGGCGTTCATGCTAGTTTAAAAAACCTGTTCATGTCAGCCTCCTGGTGGTGAATACAAACCAGTGTCGCCCTAACAAGATGAAACACACAGTATTACATCGATTTACAGACTTCTGATACATATTTAATAAAAGGCAACAATATAAATACACCGTTAAATGTTTTCTGATGTTGTTACATGTTTTTTTAACATCTGTCTTATTTTAAACAAAGGTCTCAGGTCCTGTGAGTTAAAATACTTTTTGACACAATTTGTCCTTTTAAAGACAAACGCATACATATTATAAACAACAGAAAGACGAAAGAAATTCAAAAGTTCGTCAGTTTCAGATTAATGCACAAGACAATAAAATGATAAAAATGTAATCAAATAGATTTAAAGTCTATAATAACCGTAACGGCAGTAAAAACAATCGTGAAATGAAAACTTGAATAGTAACAAAATGATAAATACATGATAAATACAATAAAATAAGTAAATGAAACGATAAAATAGATTTAAAAGCTATGAAAACACTAATGGCAGTAAAAGTCTGAAATAAAAACTAGATTAATTAATAAAAGCAGCGTAAATAAAATAGTTTTTTTAAACTTAAGTACAATCAAATTTGGGATTTAAATAATGTAAAAAAATACATGACATCAAACTATCGCAGTAGTTTTCCGCCCTGAGTCGTGTCTGTCTGCTTCCACCAATCAGAGCTCAGTATGTCGCCTCAGAGGCAAAACACAGGGCAGAGCCGTCCACAGGAGGACACCGGCCTCTTGGCTGTAGTCCAGAGACATTGTGCCAAAGGAAGCCTCCTCCCTCCTCCCTTCATACAGCAGCTGCGACACTGATCACTTCTTATTCTGTCCACTAATACTTTCCTCTCCATGAAAGAGTGTTCTGAGAGCAGCAGACCGGCTGCAGCCAGCTGTGTGTCTCTTTATCTACCGTTGAATAAAACACTGCTCGCCTCCATCGGCTCAGCGACTGAAGAAACTGCAGCTGCTGCCTCAGAGATGCTGATGACTTTAGTGGCGCTTATAGCTTTGTTTTTTACATCTGCTATCATTCACAAGTAGACTGAGGCGCTTTTAATAGCAGACGATGATTAAAAATACATATTTTTATGTTTTATGACGTTGTTAAAGGTTTGTTTACATCTTTCTTTTTGTAAACAACGGTCTGAAACTGTCCGATTTCAGTTCTCATACATCATGGTCTGTATTACATATGAAATTGGGGTTTTAATGCTACTATATATATATATATATATATATATATATATATATATATTCCATTATTTCCTAACAAACATGACACCGACATCATCAACTTCCTTCTTCCAGGCTGTTCTCTTGAGGTCTAAATCTATCTTTTTTTTAAAAAGATCTTGACTAAAATGGCCGACATTCACTGAAACAAAGGAACGTATCGATGAGCATTAAAGCAGCACTAAGCGTTCACGGTATTTACAGTTTATCTCCGTGAGGGTCGGTATCTTAATAATTACTTGGCCGGCTGCTGACATTCTCGTCTTTCCAAACCACCGTTTGACCCATATACTAATTTATAACTCCTCGTACACTTCCAGACTCCTCCCCCTAAATATCACTGTGAACATTTTAACACTGTGTGTCGGTTACAGACCGACTCGGTTACAGACTCGGTTACAGACCTGCTGGTGAACAAAATGGAGCATTTAGCAGCTAAAGAGACAGATTTGTGGTGGAGGAGACCAAAGACAGCTAAAAGAGAGAATATTGGACACAAACATCTGTAGCTGCTGGATGTTCCAGACGTCCTACGGTGGTGATATGTGAGATGTTGTGCTGCCCCCAAGTGGTTAAATAGTTAATACAACTTGAAGTCACAAAAGGTGTTTTTGAATGCTAACAGGAAGTTAGCATCACTGGTTCCCCTCTTAAAATAAAAACTGTTTATTGCCAAATACGTTTGCACATACAAGGGATTTGTTTTTGGTAATTGGTGCGTGATGAAAAAAGAGGATAAAAAATGTGAAATTTCACCCGGGGGGCCTTTACTGACCTTTACTGATCAGACAACTAATCGTTTGTGTTGAAACACAGACTTTATATTTCATTCCTCTCACCAGAAACGCATTCAAGAAACTTTAACTGAAAGACGAGGAGACAGGAAGTGTAAAGATGCTGACTCATTATTGGGTTTTAGGACTCATTCCTGCACACTTGGATTGTTCCAGACAAACCAAATCGCCCAAGATGTTTGATGCATTCACAGACTATTTGAAAATTGTTCAGACTTAGTTGACCGAGCCAGCGAACGAGTGTGTATCTCTATTAATTTATTTTTAGGGTTTTAGGACCGCGTTCTGCAGCGCTCTATTCACTCAAGTCTCAAATTTGAGACATACGGCGTTGGAAAGACAAAAGTGTACCAAGTTTTATCCTCGAACTTGGAGTAATTCTCTCTCTTTTCTGTCCTCCTCTCAGGGCTCGTTTTGTACTTTTGCACTCTGCCCGATGTTGAGCGATGTCCAGCCACAGATGATCCATGACCACACTTCTGTTCACGCACTTTAGCACCTTTCCGGAGCCTTCCCCGAGCCGTGAACTCCGCAGCTGATGACCAAAGCGAGCGACGCCACGCCTCCCCGCCCCGAGCAACGCGCCTCCTCCCCCCCCAGCAGCCCCTCCTCCCTCGGCCTCGCGCCCCCGCAGGACGTCCCAAGATGTTCCAGAGGTTCACTAGCGCTCTGTTCGGGGGGGACGCCGAGGAGCTGAGTCGACGCAGCGGGAACGGAGATGGCAAGGAGGAAGAGGAGGATGAAGACTGGATCCTGGTCAACTACCTGGGTAAGAAATCAAAGCTTCATGTGTTAAAGCTGCATTCTCTC